AGCAATAGCGCATAAAAGATGACAAATCAGACCAAATGAAAAACTGAGTTGATAAATGATAGAACATTTATAATTTGGAAAGTTTAGATAAAACTATAGTACATTAGCTTCCATTTCAGCTTCCATTTAGAATACAATATTTGTATTAGTTAATATTATAAATTTTGAATCTGCTATAACTATTCACAACTATATTAATATGAAAATAATGATGCAATAAATCAGGAAATTAAGAAGTCATTAATAATTTTAAGTATATAATATATATACAATTTCACCGTGCCCACCTTGACACCGTGTCCACATTGACACCGTGTCCACATTGACACCGTGCCCACCTTGACACCGTGGCCACCTTGACACCGTGCCCACCTTGACACCGTGCCCGCCATGACACCGTGTCCACATTGACACCGTGCCCACCTTGACACCGTGCCCACCTTGACACCGTGCCCACCTTGACACCGTGCCCACCTTGACACCGTGCCCGCCATGACACCATGTCCACATTGACACCGTGTCCACAGTGACACCGTGTCCACATTGACACCGTGTCCACATTGACACCGTGCCCACCTTGACACCGTGGCCACCTTGACACCGTGCCCACCTTGACACCGTGCCCGCCATGACACCATGTCCACATTGACACCGTGTCCACATTGACACCGTGCCCACCTTGACACCGTGCCCACCATGACACCGTGCCCACCATGACACCGTGCCCACCTTGACACCGTGCCCACCTTGACACCGTGCCAACCATGACACCGTGCCCACAATGACACCGTGCCCACAATGACACCGTGCCCACAATGACACCGTGCCCACCATGACACCGTGCCCACCATGACACCGTGCCCACCATGACACCGTGCCCACCATGACACCGTGCCCACCATGACACCATGCCCACCATAACACCGTGCCCACCATGACATTATGCCCACCATGACACCGTGCCCACCATGACACCGTGCCCACCATGACACCGTGCCCACCATGACACCGTGCCCACCATGACATTATGTCCACCATGACACCGTGCCCACCATGACACCGTGTCCACATTGACATCATTCCCACCTTGACACCGTGCCCACCATGACACCGTGTCCACATTGACACCGTGTCCACATTGACACCGTGCCCACCTTGACACCGTGCCCACCTTGACACCTTGCCCACCATGACACCGTGCCCACCTTGACACCGTGCCCACCTTGACACCGTGCCCACCATGACACCGTGCCCACCTTGACACCGTGCCCACCTTGACACCGTGCCCACCATGACACCGTGCCCACCATGACACCGTGCCCACCATGACACCGTGCCCACCATGACACCGTGCCCACCATGACACCGTGCCCACCATGACATTATGCCCACCATGACACCGTGCCCACCATGACACCGTGTCCACATTGACATCATTCCCACCTTGACACTATGCCCACCATGACACAGTGTCCACCATGACACCGTGCCCACCTTGACACCGTGCCCACCTTGACACTGTGCCCACCTTGACACTGTGCCCACCTTGACACTGTGCCCACCTTGACACCGTGCCCACCATGACACCGTGCCCACCATGACACCGTGCCCACCATGACACCGTGCCCACCATGACACCGTGCCCACCATGACACTATGCCCACCATGACACTATGCCCACCATGACACCGTGCCCACCTTGACATCGTACCCACAATGACACCGTGCCCACCTTGACACCGTGCCCACCTTGACACCGTACCCAAGGTGTGTGTGGTGACGGTGTGTGTGGTGACGGTGTGTGTGTGGTGACGGTGTGTGTGGTGAAGGTGTGTGTGGTGAAGGTGTGTGTGGTGAAGGTGTGTGTGGTGAAGGTGTGTGTGGTGAAGGTGTGTGTGGTGAAGGTGTGTGTGTGGTGAAGGTGTGTGTGGTGAAGGTGTGTGTGGTGAAGGTGTGTGTGTGGTGAAGGTGTGTGTGTGGTGAAGGTATGTGTGGTGAAGGTGAGTGTGGTGAAGGTGTGTGTGGTGAAGGTGAGTGTGGTGAAGGTGTGTGTGGTGAAGGTGAGTGTGGTGACGGTGTGTGTGGTGACGGTGAGTGTGGTGACGGTGTGTGTGGTGACGGTGAGTGTGGTGACGGTGTGTGTGGTGACGGTGTGTGTGGTGACGGTGTGTGTGGTGACGGTGTGTGTGGTGACGGTGTGTGTGGTGACGGTGTGTGTGGTGACGGTGTGTGTGGTGACGGTGTGTGTGGTGAAGGTGAGTGTGGTGAAGGTGTGTGTGGTGAAGGTGAGTGTGGTGAAGGTGAGTGTGGTGACGGTGTGTGTGGTGACGGTGTGTGTGGTGAAGGTGTGTGTGGTGAAGGTGAGTGTGGTGACGGTGTGTGTGGTGACGGTGAGTGTGGTGACGGTGTGTGTGGTGACGGTGTGTGTGGTGAAGGTGTGTGTGGTGAAGGTGTGTGTGGTGACGGTGTGTGTGGTGACGGTGTGTGTGGTGACGGTGTGTGTGGTGACGGTGTGTGTGGTGACGGTGTGTGTGGTGACGGTGTGTGTGGTGACGGTGTGTGTGGTGACGGTGTGTGTGGTGACGGTGTGTGTGGTGACGGTGTGTGTGGTGAAGGTGTGTGTGGTGAAGGTGTGTGTGGTGAAGGTGTGTGTGGTGAAGGTGTGTGTGGTGAAGGTGTGAAGGTGAAGGTGTGTGGTGAAGGTGTGTGTGGTGAAGGTGTGTGTGGTGAAGGTGTGTGTGGTGAAGGTGTGTGTGGTGAAGGTGTGTGTGGTGAAGGTGTGTGTGGTGAAGGTGTGTGTGGTGAAGGTGTGTGTGGTGAAGGTGTGTGTGGTGAAGGTGTGTGTGGTGAAGGTGTGTGTGGTGAAGGTGTGTGTGGTGAAGGTGTGTGTGGTGAAGGTGAGTGTGGTGAAGGTGAGTGTGGTGACGGTGAGTGTGGTGAAGGTGTGTGTGGTGAAGGTGAGTGTGGTGACGGTGTGTGTGGTGACGGTGAGTGTGGTGACGGTGTGTGTGGTGACGGTGTGTGTGGTGACGGTGTGTGTGGTGACGGTGTGTGTGGTGACGGTGTGTGTGGTGACGGTGTGTGTGGTGAAGGTGTGTGTGGTGAAGGTGTGTGTGGTGAAGGTGTGTGTGGTGAAGGTGTGTGTGGTGAAGGTGTGTGTGGTGAAGGTGTGTGTGGTGAAGGTGTGTGTGGTGAAGGTGTGTGTGGTGACGGTGAGTGTGGTGACGGTGTGTGCGGTGACGGTGTGTGCGGTGACGGTGTGTGCGGTGACGGTGTGTGCGGTGACGGTGTGTGCGGTGAAGGTGTGTGCGGTGAAGGTGAGTGTGGTGAAGGTGAGTGTGGTGAAGGTGAGTGTGGTGAAGGTGAGTGTGGTGAAGGTGAGTGTGGTGACGGTGTGTGTGGTGACGGTGTGTGTGGTGACGGTGTGTGTGGTGACGGTGTGTGTGGTGACGGTGTGTGTGGTGACGGTGTGTGTGGTGACGGTGTGTGTGGTGACGGTGTGTGTGGTGAAGGTGTGTGTGGTGAAGGTGTGTGTGGTGACGGTGTGTGTGGTGACGGTGTGTGTGGTGACGGTGTGTGTGGTGACGGTGTGTGTGGTGACGGTGTGTGTGGTGACGGTGTGTGTGGTGACGGTGTGTGTGGTGACGGTGTGTGTGGTGAAGGTGTGTGTGTGTGGTGAAGGTGTGTGTGTGTGGTGAAGGTGAGTGTGGTGACGGTGTGTGTGGTGACGGTGAGTGTGGTGACGGTGTGTGTGGTGACGGTGTGTGTGGTGACGGTGTGTGTGGTGACGGTGTGTGTGGTGAAGGTGTGTGTGGTGAAGGTGTGTGTGGTGACGGTGTGTGTGGTGACGGTGTGTGTGGTGACGGTGTGTGTGGTGACGGTGTGTGTGGTGACGGTGTGTGTGGTGAAGGTGTGTGTGGTGAAGGTGTGTGTGGTGAAGGTGGGTGTGGTGACTGTGGGTGTGGTGACTGTGGGTGTGGTGACTGTGGGTGTGGTGACTGTGGGTGTGGTGACGGTGGGTGTGGTAAAAGTGAGATGCGTGATGGTGAGTAGATGTGATGATGCGTAAGTGTTGATGGTGAGCAACTTGCCGGAGAGTAGATGGGTGTAATGAACATGAGTGGGTGTTGTGAGGGTGGGCGGGCCTCCCGCCCACCCTCATCCCCCCATAAGTACCACCCATAACACAAACACATCCTAAATTAGGCCATTAACGCAGTAATTAGCGTCGGTGGTTATTACAGAGGGACGTTAACACCCTCTGGAATGTAAAACACAAGATTTATTAACCTCTTCCCAGCGAGTGTTCGCACATAAATTATCTCGTTCTGTTAACAATTCACAAATAACGAAGCTGGCGAGTGTATGCACGCACTCGAAGTTTATTCTGCTAATATTTATTCATTGTTAGAGTGTGTCAATCCAGTTTCCTTTACTGAAGGAATATCGTGTAATAATATGAAGGATAATGTGTTATATCATTCTGGTGTGCTAGAGCCTGTGTCTACAGCTGTGCTAGGACATGTGCAGAGTGCGTTCATTGTCTTCAAACTGCTGAACTTGAGTCAATCTTTTATGTGCGTCTTAGATTGTGGTGATAAACTGAGTTTATACGTGTGTGTGTGTGTGTGTGTGTGTGTGTTTAGCAGCGTATATGTGTACGTGCGTGTGTTTACCTTGGTCGATGTCCACAGTCGTGGTCTTTAACGAGCCTGGCCTGAGGACAGGTTGAAATACAAATAATTATAAACAGAACCTAAATTTTTAACCTAGCTAAATCTATACCGGTCTATAAACAAAATTACAAACACAAGTTATTTTGAATATAAAATGTGAAACTGCGAATCAGAATACACAATATTTTGATAAATGCGACTCTGGGGTTGACTTCAATTAGAACGAGCACAGTCCAAGGCCGGGTTGAGGAGTCCGTAATAAATGAACTAAACTATAACGAGACAAATATTATATTAATGACGGTGTGTTCCCCACCCTCTCAGTGCCCTCCAGATCGTCGACGTGATGGTGGTGCCGCTGACCACCGGGGAGACCATCACTGTGATAATCATAGCACTGGTGGGCGTTCTTCTCACTATCGGCTGCTACCTCTATTGGCGCTTACGAAAGGTTAGTTTGACCTTGGTGCTGGGGTTGAGACCCTTCAATCTCTGGTGGGTCATTAAGGTCACCATAACACGTTACTGGGTAATCAGTAAGTATGCTGTAGTCTTCAACAGAGTGTAGGATTAAAATAAACTCTGGGTGGATATATTCACTGATTAACGGGGTATACCTCATCTTAATCAAACACGTAAGTCTTACTGTAGATCATAATAGACCGAGTTACAGGGTCTTCTTCCGCACGAACAATTCTTACATGAATTATAATAGTCAGCATTGGCGGACGTTTGTAGATTATTATAAAAATGGTAAAGTTGAAGTGACTACCGCAGTCCACCTCCCACTACTTTAAGAGGTCACTGAAGGCTTGGGCGTTGCTGGCGAGCATTATGGTAGACACTTGTGTTCTTACTGAGCCGAGCAGTGTGGCGGGAGGCAGATTATCTCGCGTTTCCATGTTAAGTTATTTTGTTTTTTTTTTCTTATCCATGAATATAAGAGTGTATATATATACCCCCTGCCAGAGTGTGCCGACCAACAGTTTCAACTCCAGTTTCTTCAAGTTTGAGAGCTCGGTCTTGAGGTAGACGGGTGATGTATGCTACATCTTGGAGATGAAAGTCCATCAGCGGTTTGCAACTGAACGCCGTCATCTTAAAGAGTACGCAAAGACATGAGGTCATCTTCTGAGTGACTTTGATCACTGTGGGGTCTCCAGATCAAATGAATTTCGGGAAACTCCACACATTAACTAGAGTGTATCAGACTTGATGATTACCTTGAACCTTTCAACGTCAAAGTTGTCAGTAAATATCAATATAATATGTTAATTTAAATTGTATCATTCCTCAGCGTGTGTTTTTTTTTCTCTCTGAATAAGATGCCTTAAATGTTGATATAATATACATTTAGAAGGTGTGTGTATAGGAGGATAATGGGTTCGTTTGGAAATATTACGCTCGTATCTATATATTTTATTTATGTATAAATTTTAATCTGTAATTTTTTTCAATTTCAGTTAAATTTCAGTTAATTGAATTTTTTTCTGTTAATTTCAGTTAATTGATTTTTTTTCTGTAAGTAGTTTATATTATGTTTTTAGAGAAATATTGATGTGCATACTGTAGTAAACATGATAACATTATGAATAATAACAATGATAACATTATGAATAATAACAATGATAACATTATGAATAATAACAATAATTATATAAATGGATGAACAATTATAAGTATACAGATAAATATTACTTGATACCTCGTGCAATAAATAAAATTATGGATAAATAGAAATCTGGTTAAAATAAATAATAAAGCCATCTGGTCAAGAACTTATGTTTAACCTTTATGTACAGGCACGACCATTATGCTCTTTGTGATATCTATATAAATACAAATGTACATGTTCGTTTTATTCAAAATCGCTGATCTCCGAAAGTTCTTCAATGATTGCTTTGAAATTTTGACACAACGTTGCATTCAAATACGCGCGTGGTTTTCATATACCTACTATATAGAGCCACACCTGTTACAGGTAAAAACATGCTTATTTTGAAAAACATCGCCATCTGTTGAACGTAAAAGCCACACACGCTATACTATATATTTTACAATTACTTTTCAATGTTAACGAAACTTCTTCACCGATTGCATTGAAATTTTGATACAACTTTGCATTCGAATATGCACGTTTTTTATATACCTACTACTATATAGATGTCACACCTTTCACAGGTCAAAACATGTTTTGTTTTTTTAACTGCGTTTCTCGTGAGGGAATGGTGAAGAGGACGAGGGGATTGGGGATGGGGGAATGGTGGGGAGGATGAGAAGACGGGGGAGTGGGGGATGGTGGAGAGGACGAGGGGATGGGTGAGTGGGGAATGGTTGGGAGAACTAGGGGACAGGGGAGTGTGAGATGGTGGCTGTGATGAGGGGACGGAGGAGGGGGCAATGGTTGGGAAGATGAGGGGACGAGGAGATTGTTGGGATGACGAGGGGACGGGGAATGGTGGGTAGGTCGATGGGATGGGGGTGGGTGGAATGGTGGGAAGGACGGGGGGGGGGTGACGGAGGAGGGTTGCTGTGGCTCAGAAACGCACACGCGTTGCTGAGCCACAGCAACGCGTGGCCGGGCACAGCTAGTTCGATATAAGAACATAATACTTGAACTTGACACTGAAGGTATCTGGCTGGATTAACTAAATGCGATCACTCTCGAATTGGAAGTATCAGATCATCTATCTCAGATTGTCACTATGGCACCGTTTGTCATTGTTAGTGACAGGAAGCCTGTTTATGCATATCAGGGCCTACCCCGTCTTCTCCTTCACCAGTCACTGACTTTACCCAGAGTGTTAGTGTACCCGAAGTAACAACCATTATTGAAATCGCTTAACAATACAATGTATGCCATTTTCATTTGTGCAAACAGCCAGAAACTTTTGATATTAATAGTTCATCAAACCGAAAACATAAAAACAAATTCTTGTTTTTATCTCTGTCACAGGAAACATTCTGTCTCTAAATTTTACTTATGACTGAATGTAGGTAACCGCCATCTTCAAGCCTCCTCCTCGTTATTCATGTCCACGGCCTCGATCCCCACCACTTGCTCTCCCTCCTCCTAGCCGTGAGAAATGTCCACACTAAATAGACACGGGAAAATATCACAGCCCGTATAGCAAGCTTGAGACTCAAGCACGCAACAGATCAAGTGACACCGATAATGCAACTTCATCCTCTTAAATATTTTCCTTACGGGTTCTCCTTAAGGCTTTGGTATACTGCGGAATATCTCCTCTCGGTCTCCAGAAATATTCAGGAGAGTAAGTAGAGGCGATCTTGTTCTCGGGACGCACCCAGGGCACGTCCAGCCAAGAGGACTCTTATATTTCCTCCAGACTTGTGTAGTCTAATGTTGGTTTGTTTATCCAGAACTCCCCAATGTCAGGCTTGAGTTCTTATGCATGGGTGTGTGGTTTACATGACTAAGTGTACCTCATGAGGTTGAGCTTTACGACTATGGTTCCGCTTCCCGGTCATAATGCGACTGATAAATTCAGGTTCGTCGAGCCTTTTAAGCTTGGACACTTAAAGCTGCGTGTATTTAGTCGGCCTCTAACACCTTATTTCTTAATGTATTCATTCAATTAGCTCGTACAATCTGACAGAAAGGAAGTTTTTATTGTAACTGCCTCATGGTGGTAGTGGGCTTTCGTTACCCGTTCGTCTACCGTACATTTTCAGTTTTATTTAATTGCACATGTTATTCCCTTGAAATTCTTATATGTAGTAATAATGGTCTCATTTAGTTCCTGCAGTTTCAAGGTATGTGAAATTTATTCCCTTCTGTCGTCCTCAAAAATGATATTCCTCGACTCTGGAATTAGTGTAGTGGCATCCTCCCGGAGTTTGTCCAGTTTCGGTTTGTGTTTAACGAGACGCGGACACCACGCTGGTGGTGCCGTTCCCAAAACTGATTTGATGTGATAATCGGTGTTCTGTGTGCATTCACCTAGTTGTATTCACCCAGTGTTGTGCTTGCGGGGGTTGAGCTCGGCTCTTTTCACCCGCCTCTCAATTGTCAATCAATCAACTGTTACTAACTACTATTTTTCTCTCACACACACACACACACACACACACACACACACACACACACACACACACACACACACACACACACACACACACACACACACACAATTAAACCTCACTTCGCTGGAAGACAGAAGAGTTAGGGGGGACATGATCGCCACATTCAAGATTCTGAAGGGAATTGATAGAGTAGATAAAGACAGTCTATTTAACACAAGGGGAACACGCACAAGGGGAACACGCACAAGGGGACACAGGTGGAAACTGAGTACCCAAATGAGCCACAGAGATATTAGAAAGAACTTTTTTAGGGTCAGAGTGGTTGACAAATGGAATGCATTAGGGGTGATGTGGTGGATGGAGGCTGACTCCATACACAGTTTCAAGTGTAGATATGACAGAGCCCGATAGGCTCAGGAATCTGTACACCTGTTGATTGACGGTTGAGAGGCGGGACCAAAGAGCCAGAGCTCAACCCCCGCAAACACAACTAGGTGAGTACAACTAGGTGAGTACACACACACACAGGAAGCTGCCCGTAACAGCTGTCTAACTCCCAGGTACCTATTTACTGCTAGGTAAGAGGGGCAACAGGGTGAAAGAAACTCTGCCCATTTTTGTCTCTCGCCGGCGCCGGGAATCAAATGGATTATCCGGGCAGGATTACGTGAACAGCGTGCTATCTACACAGCCACCGGAGCCCCGGTGTGTGTGTGTGTGTGTGTGTGTGTGTGTGTGTGTGTACTCGCCTAATTGTACTCAATTGTGCTTGCGGGGGTGGAGCTCTGGCTCTTTGGTCCCGCCTCTCAACTGTCAATCAACTGATGTGCAGATTCCTGGGCCTATTGGGCTCTATCATATTTTCATTTGAAACTGTGTTTAGAGTCAGCCTCCACCACAACACTGCCTAATGCATTCCATCTGATAACTACTCTGACACTGAAAAAGATCATTCTAACGTCCCTGTGGCTCATTTGGGTACTCAGTTTCCACCTGAGTCCCCTTTTTCGTGTACCACCCGTGTTAAACCGTTTATCTTTATCTACCCAGTCAATTCCTTTGAGAATTTTGTAGGTAGTGATCATGTCTCCCTTTACTCTTCTGTCTTCTAGTATCAGGAGGTGCATTTCTCGCAGCCTTTCTTCGTAACTCATGCCTATTAGTTCTGGGATTAGCCTAGTGGCATAACTCTGAACTTTTTCAAGCTTCGCCCTTGTGCTTGACAAGGTACGGACTCCATGCTGGGGCCGCATACATTGTGTGTTTGTAATGAATTTTGTATTTTTGGTTCAAATAGTTCTTAGTAAAATGTATATGAATTTGAAAATAAAGAACAAACCTGATTGGAAATGGAATTGAAAACTTAAATTAATATACAAGTGAATATGAACTCGCTGAGAGATAGTGGGATGAACAATTCCCGGAACTGTCAAGGTGAACATGACAGCATATGGAGATGTTTTGAGTTACCACTGTGGTGCTGTCTCAGGGGATCCGGGGCTTTATCTGGGAGAGCTTTATCTGAGAGGGCTTTATCTTTGAGAGCTTTATCTGAGAGAGGCATTATCTGGGAGGGCTGTATCTGGGAGGCCTTTATCTGGGAGTGCTTTTTCTGGGAGGGCTTTATTTGGGAGTGCTTTATCTGGGAGTGCTTTATCTGGGAGGGTTGTATCTAGGAGAGGCTTTATCTGGGAGGGCTTTATCTGGGAGAGGCTATATCTGGGGGTACTTTATCTGGAAGGGCTTTATCTGGGAGAGGCTTTATCTGGGAGGGCTTTATCTGGGAGGGCTTTATCTGGGAGAGCTTTATCTGGGAGGGCTTTATCTGGGAGGGCTTTATCTGGGAGGGCTTTATCTAGGGCTTTATCTGGGAGGGGCTGTATATGAGAGGGGCTTTATCTGTGAAAGGCTTTATCTGGGAGTGCTTTATCTGAGAGTGCTTTATCTGGAAGGGCTTTATCTGGGAGTGCTTTATCTGGGAGGAGCTGTATTTGGGGGGGGGGCTTTATCTGGGAGGGTTTTATCAGGTAGGTGCTGTATCTGGGAGGGTTTTATCAGGGAGGTGCTGTATCTAGGAGGGGCTTTATCTGGGAGGGGCTTTATCTGGGAGGGGCTTTATCTGGGAGTGCTTTATCTGGGAGTGCTTTATCTGGGAGTGCTTTATCTGGGAGTGCTTTATCTGGGAGTGCTTTATCTGGGAGTGCTTTATCTGGGAGGGCTTTATCTGAGAGGGGGCTATATCTGGGAGTGCTTTATCTGGGAGGGGCTTTATCTGCGAGTGCTTTATCTGGGAGAGGCTTTATCTGGTAGTGCTTTATCTGGGAGTGCTTTATCTGGGAGTGCTTTATCTGGGAGTGCTTTATCTGGGAGTGCTTTATCTGGGAGTGCTTTATCTGGGAGTGCTTTATCTGGGAGTGCTTTATCTGGGA